CAGAAATGGCAAATGCTCCATCAGCCTTCGATTCCCACACATACCTTAAAATTTTCATTGAACCACTAGGTAACAATGATTCAAACACTTCAATAACAACTACATTAAGCTAGAAAACTTACTGTTTGTCGTCATTGTGTTTACTAATAACTTCAACATAGTCTGCTACCAGATAGACAGAGTAGAAACCAACCCCAAACTGCCCAATCAGATTAAGGTCTCCACTACTCTGCATTTTCTCAACAAATGCTGCATAAAGAGAAGGGAAAAATAAATTAAAAAAATTAATAATTTAACAACATTTAAAGAAAATCTAGTATTTATTTACCAGAAGTTCCAGATTTTGCAATTGTTCCCAAGTTCTTTATTAAATCTTCTTTTGTCATTCCTATACCTCTGTCACGAAGTGAAAGTATTTTCTTCTCTTTGTCCAACTTAATCTACAATTTCATCAGGTTTATAAGGTTCCGAAATACTGATACAGAAATTCCACATGTGCATGCTCAAGCCCGTTTTGCAACATTTCTAGATAACGACAACCAGAGTTTCTGCGTCTATATTTCCATAAAATAAAGTTCTAACGTGAAGCACTAACCTGGATCTCCAGCTTGGAAGTGTCACCTTCACCCAAAACTTCTTTGTCTGTGAGTGAAAGGAACCTAATCTTGTCCAACGCCTAAAATTCAAAAGAAGTTTCCATTCAAATGTTGAACTAAAAAACAACAAAAACAAACACAAGAGAAAAGCTGGAAGCTTACATCAGAAGCATTTGAGATCAACTCCCGGAGGAAAATATCCTTGTTGCTATAAAGAGAATTGATAATAATGTCCATAAGCCGAGAAACCTCAGCTTGGAATTCAAATTTCTCCGCATTATTGCGAAGCGATCTGGAAGAGATCGACTCGGATTCCCTGACAACAAAAGCAAAAAAAAATTAAAATACATTTTCGGATTCAAAATATCGCAAATAGAGGTAAAATAAATATATAAAAGCGTGCTCATAAACAGAACTGTGCAAACCTTTTAACGACATCAGAATCAGTTTGTAAACCGTTAGGCACAGAGCCGATCTTTTCCTCGACTTTTGGGGGATCTATGGCTCCTTCTTCAGCATTTGCATGAACTTTTCTACCTGGAACAACCGTAAATCCTGACTCAGACACCAAACACTAAAAAAATAAAAATAAAAAACATAAAAATGAAAGTAAATTTGGACTAAGCTGACCTTGATCTGAAAAGAGACTAAAAAGGCAAAGAAGAATCAAAGCGGAAGGGACCGCCCACTTCTTCATTGTTTGCTTCAAAGCTGGTCTTTTAGTGGAATTTATCAGTAAATAGATTGCTTATCTATTCGTTTGAAATCAGTTTAGCGAGGTTTTAAATATTGAAGCTTTAGATCTAGCGTACATTGCACCTTAAGGATTGTCTCTCGATTGGTTATTAGAGCCAGCGTGTGTGATCTAGCGTTTGGCAGTTTATCCCGTAACACGTGTAATAATATTATTGGGTTTGCTTTGTGTTTCGACGTGGAGGAGGAGTCTGTGTTATTGCCGGCCCCACATGAGACGACCTCAAGTTCTCACCTCACCTATTGATAAATGATCCAACGGTTTTTCTTCAAGGAACGTGGCGGAATACGATTGGGTATTTGTCCCCCGCTTGACATAGATGGACAGAATTTTCTAGACTGTTCTATGGGCTAGATTGGGGTGATTGTAGAGCACAGCAGCTTAATATAAGAATAACGAAAAACGTTATCTAAAATATTTTAAAATAATATAATATTTTATGTTATATATAAATTAAAATTAAAATTTTTTAATTTTTTGATTCAACTAAAAATATTATGGAAAATGTAATATTTTCGGTTATAATTTAAAATATTTACAACCAAAAAAATTAACATTTTAATTACGCATTTTCTTAATCTTATGTTAAACTGTTGTACCGTACAACTCCCCCATGAGATTGGCTCGGAAATATTTTAATACCAACAAACTGTCTATTTAGATATGTTTTTTTTCAAATAAAATATTAGAATTAATTATATCATTGATCATTTATATTTGTGCTTTTATTTTATTTTCATTATTTTAAAAATCATGATATATGATTAATTTCATTTTTATTTAATTAAGATGTGGTCATCACAAATTAACTAACATTAACAATTAACATATTAGATAATGTGACAGTTAAATATTTAGTATAATCACACATTTGGTTTGTGTCATTTATATATTATTTCAATTTAATCTTATTTTTAATAAATGAAAATAAAGTAATCCTCCAATCGAATGATGGCACATGTCATTGGTGTCACGTGTTACAGATCACTTGGAGGAATTATTTTATTTTATTTTAATTTAATATATTTATTTTTACCAAATACAATATGACACGTGTCATCCTCTGATTTAAAGAAAATAAAGAAAAACAAATTCGGGCAAAGAGATTTAAACCTAAGTCACTTAAAAATCAAGCACGTACCCAACCATTAAGCCAAAACCAATGCTTAATCCAAAATAGATAACTTGATGTATATATTTTGTATCTTAATATATAAATATTTAATAGAAATTCATAATATTTAATATATATTAAATTTAAAAATATTTTTATATTAATTTATTAAAGACTTTTTAATAATTTAATTTAAAAAATATTTTGTATTTTAATTTAAAATATATTTTTTATGTTAAAATATTTTGAAGTTAAGATAAGAATAAAATATATTTAATAATTTAAAGTAATAATCTAATATATTTAGTAAATTAAGATAAAACATATAATTTAAAAAGTTAAAATAATATTAAAATATTTAAAAATTAAATTAGAATAAAATATATATTATTTTTAAATTAAAATAAAATATTTTTAAAATAAGTTAATAAACAAATATATTTAATAAGATAATATAAAAAATTTCTTAAAATTAATACATATAAAATATTATTAGTTAAGTGAAGTATTTATACATTAAGATACAAAATATACATATTATGTTGTCTATTTTAAATCAAGTATTGGTTTTGGCTCAATGATTGAGTGTATGCTTGGTTTCCTAAGAGATCTAGGTACAAAATAATGTCAAGTGACATGTGTCAGATATAGTTTTTCTTAAATATTTTAAATAATATTTTTTAAAATAATTTAAAATATAAATATGACATATTTCACTTAATGATTTATTTTTTAACGGTAAGCATCTATTAATGTAACAGATAAAACATTAAACATATATTTTTAATGAAAAATATAAACATTACTTTAGCTCACTCACTATAAATGATTTAAGATAAATCACTAATATTATATTAATTCTTGAATATTGGTTATACTTTTATACTAAAAATTCTTAATGCATAATAACATATTGATGACGTGGCCTATTATATATTATTCAAACGACAAGTTGATTATATATCAATCCAGCGATATAACTGATCATATATAATTTACGAGGTAAAATCAATTATATTTTAAAACCAACATAAATGCATTAAGAATTTAAAACAAATAAAATTGTAACACTTTTATTAATATAAAATACAATTATAATATTAAACACTTACCTCAATATTTTTTTCTTCTCTACATTTAAATATTTTTTCTCTAATTCACACTTTTAACACATTTTTCCTGTTTTTTACTCTATTTACCCCGTTTCACTATGCGTTCTAGTAGTAGTTTTACCTAAAAAAAAGTATTTTTCACCATAGAAATAATACTTAACACTTGGATTTTTAGAAAGGGAAGTGTTAGAAAGGGGAGTGTTTTTCCACACTAATTAACAGTACAAACTCAAAAAGCCAAAAAATAGAGGCTTCAAAAAGTTGAGTTTTGTGGTAATTAACACTTATGCCGCATAAATTTATGAATCCCGTCAGTTATATATATGAATTAAGATTTACTCTCTTCGTACCATTGTATTTATTATTAAATTTTTAAAAGTTAAATTTTAAATTTTAATCCCGATTATTGTAAATATTTTAAATAATTAAGATTTATAAATTATATATTTAAAAACTATTTAAGTTAAAGTTTTTGAAAAGTATTTTATATATTTTTATAATAATAAATTTTAAATAATAACGACTTAAGAAAATCTTACAAAAAAATCAACAGTAGATAGATTTAACGAGACAAATATAATATTCTAGAAAAAAATATTATTTATAAAATATAATATAAATAATAACTTATTAAAATATATTTTATATTTATTATATTTAATTAAAATATTTCATATATCATCATTTTAATAAATTTAAATATAATTTAAATTAATATGTTTATATTTTATTATATACTATTAAAATAATTATTTTATCATTTCAAAAAAATTATATATTATTAAAATCAACTGATATATTCTATATATTTAATAGGAATATTTTTAATATTATTTAAATGAATAATTTTAACTTATGATATTATGTCTAAAATTAAACATAATCAAATAATTTAAAAGCATTTCTCAATTTTGTTTCATAAGTACTTTTTTACCATATTTTTTAAAAAAACAATGCTAAACTAAACCTTACATATTTCTCTAATAGTTGGATTGACCCGCCAACGATAAATTATACATTTAATATTTAAATTATTAATTTTAATGTTAATACTTAAACTTTTAATTTTTTAAAATCATATTTAACATTTATTTTTATTTTATTTTAATACACCATCATTAGAAACTTAACGCATTTAATACTTAAATTATTCGTTTTAATACATAAACTTTTAATTTTTTTCAAAATTTAATGTAAAATTTTGAATTGATACTAATATGAAATAAAATTTGAAGTTTTGAACTGCAGTTATTAATATAACAAAAATTAAACCTTAAATATAATTTTAAAAATATAAAAATTTTATATATTAAAATGGATCAAAATCAATAGTTAAAGTATTAATAGCGTAAGTTGCCCTTTTTAAGTATTAGATTTTATTTGTGAAACGTTACACGTACACCGACTCTAGTGGTTCGACCTTCATGGCTTCTTTCATCTTCGAAGCCCCCAGCGACGAAGAGCCAGAACTCTCAGAATCCAACGAAGACAATGAAGAAGCAGAAGAAGAAGGAGATGAAGTAGAAGACAAACCTCTAAACCGAAACACAAATCTCAATCTCCATGGGACTTTTCGTCATACTCTGAGTCCGTGGTAGAGGAACACGCTCGCCTTGGTACCACCTCCAACAAAGCTCTGATCCAGCTCAGCAAGACGAGACATACGATTCTGAATCCGACAAACTTGTATTTTTTATTTATTTATCTGTTCTTTTAATTCTAAATTATCAATTTTTTTGTTCTAAATTAGTAATCCTTTTTGTTTTCTATATCAGATTGATTATAGATCAGAAGATGAAGACGAGGAAACAAGTAATACAGGAGACAGTAAACCATTCTTTTCACCATCTGAAGGATCGTCGTTTCATGCGAATTCTTTCATGGAGCTCAATCTCTCGCGTCCTTTGCTTCGAGCTAGTGAAACATTGGGTTACTCGAAGCCTACTCCTATTCAGGTATCCATTTTACTTAATATCACAATTTTCATTTCATTATTTGAGTTTTCTTGAATGAGTTTTTTGGGTAATTCTTTTCTAGGCTGCATGCATACCCTTAGCATTGACTGGACGCGATATATGTGGGATTGCAGTTACTGGTTCTGGGAAGGTACATTTCTTTTTATATTCATCTCTTTCTGTTTCATCAATTTACTGTTGGATACTTGATTTTTGTTGAAATTCTTTATATTTGCTGCTTATGCAGACAGCTGCATATGCCTTACCTACACTAGAAAGGCTGTTTTTTCGTCCTAAAAGGGTTTCGGCTGTACGAGTGCTAATCCTTTCTCGTGCTAGAGAGCTGGCCGCTCAGTAAGTGCTCAAAAAACTTTAGAGTATTTTCCGCTTTCTATCACAAATTTATTCAGGATTTTGAGAACTAATAATTTTTTTTATAATCAAATCGTGTTAACTTAAGCTACTGGACTGGTTATGCATTTTCCTACTTTGATAGTTTATTGAAAGTATTTATAAGGCTCGACAGTTCTTTTTATGCTTCAAGTTTTATTGAAAACTATAAATGTCTTTAATTTGATTTTTGGGGATTCGTTAAGGTTTAAACCTGACTCTACATTCATTTGTTTCAGGGTTCACATTATGATAGAGAAACTTGCTTAGTATACTGATATTCGATGTTGTCTGATTGTTGGTGGGCTTTCATTAAAGGTTTGACCTATTGATTTCCATCCTTAGCTGGATTAATTTGCACACATTTTCTATGTAGGAAAAAAGTCATATGTCTGATACTTTCAGCATTCTTTTGTAAGTGTTTCTTTGACCCAGTTAAAATTTCCTCCATCATCTTATTAAAAAACTATGGCCACCCGTTTCCAGTTTCTTAAATGTTTGACTGGTTTTGGGAACTTTAATCATTAATGCTCTTGGGACTATAAATAAAGTCTTTCTTTCTTTTTTTCGGATGAATCCATTTTGTTTCTTAAGAGTCTGTTTATTTGGAAGTTGATGTTACCAATTTGTCTAATTATTTGCTTTCCTATGATTACATTGTCTTCTTTTATTTCATGTCATCTCTATAGGCACAAGAGACAGCTTTGAGATTAATGCCTGACATTGTTGTGGCTACTACTGGACGCATGATAGATCATTTACGCAATACTATGTCTGTGGATTTGGATGATCTTGCAGTTTTGATCCTTGATGAGGCTGATCAGCTTCTTGAGCTCGGATTCAGGGCTGAAATTCATGAGTTGGTAACTCCTAATCAAATCTCCTTTTATTTGAGTTGTTTTTGTTAGTAGTTTTCTGAATTTCTTTGACGACGGGAGGATTAATTTATTCTTGACTTCCAACTTGATGGGTTTTGTCTAATTATGAGGTAGTAGAATGCAGAGGTAAAACAAAACTGGTTTCCATATTTGAAACAGTTTTAGTTTCTAATGAATTTATATTTTCATCAATAGATGAAATTTTTACCAAAGTTGGGTCAAAGGTAACTTTTAACTGGTAGAAAAAATAATTGAGTCCCTTTTCCTTTCTCTAGCAATTGTTTCACTTTCTAATCTACCTTGCTATGGTTATTGCATTGGATTGATATTTGTTTTTGTAGAATTTGTATGTTATCTAATGCAACTTATGTATAGCTTCGTCTTTGTCCTAAAAGGAGACAGACTATGCTGTTTTATGCTACAAAGACTGAAGAAGTTGATGAACTTGTCAAGCTTTCTTTGACCAGACCCTTACGTCTCTCAGCTGACCCATTATCTAAATGGCCATCAACATTGACTGAGGAGTAAACTCGCTTATAATTTTACAGTTTATTTTGCTTGCTGATTTGGCCTTTTGTGTGTTTTGACTATGTTATCTTTGTTGTTTCTTGTTAGGGTTGTAAGGATACGCTGGATGCGTGAAGTAAATCAAGAAGCTGTCTTTCTTTCACTGTGTATGAAGACTTTCAAGTCCAAAGTGATTATCTTCAGGTTATTATTATGCATGATGATGGCCACACTGATTTATAATATATCAATTAGGATATGCAGATCTTTGGATAGTATTGTATTTCTCAAATCAGTGCACTTGTTCTGAGAAAAGGATCTATAGAGATAATATGATATCTTTCTCTGTTGTTTCAGTTTAATTTATAATCAGGTTTTTTTACCAGTCAGTTTTATGTCACCCTCACATTAGTGGGCAAACCCTTATTACTCTAGAAATGCATTCCATCTCCTTTGGCGGTGGAACCAAGCAGGCTGCACATAGATTGAAGATTTTATTTCAGCTGGCTGGTCTTGAAGAAGCTGAGCTTCATGGGGATCTTACTCAAGTTCAGTGCCTTGATGTGAGTAAATGTTGTTGTTGTTCTTTAGTATTTGCTCCTTTAATTTTCTTCTTAATTATTATTATTATTGATCTCAAGTTTAGCACCTTGATGTGAGTAGGTTATATTGCTGTTCTTTTCCCTTTTCCCGTTCTAACCAACTATTGTTTGTGTAGGCTTTGGAACGTTTTAGGAAGCAGGAAGTTGATTTTTTAATTGTCACTGATGTGGCTGCTCGTTTAAGTAGCTGCACTGAAACTCATCCCTTACCCATATGCCTCAGAAGTTTGTTAACTTACATGGGCTTTAGTTTGATACGTCTGGGTCATTGAAAGGAGTCAACTTTTACATAGATGATTGATGCATCTTCTCTCCACATGTAAATGCATATATCTGTAATTTAAGTTGCAGCAGTTTTGTTTCCTAACACTTGCTTCTAAATGGTTGCAATTTGTAGGAACTTGATATAATTGGTGTTGAGACGGTTATTAATTATGCTTGTCCACGAGATATTACAAGGTTGTTCCAAGGTCTTTGAATTATGTTTGACCAGCATTCATCATCTTTCTGTTATCAATAATAATAATTTGTGGAACTTCTTTTCTTTGATGTGCGCTATGCTCAATTGCAATGGCTTGGCTTCTTTTTTTTTCTTTATGCAGTTATGTTCACCGAGTGGGTCGGACAGCAAGAGCTGGTAGAGAAGGATATGCTGTTACCTTTGTTTGACAATGACCTATCTCTATTAAAAGCTATTGTAAGTCATGGTCATCTTGGTGTCAATCTGCCTTCTTTTGATTGCCTTTTCCCAGCCTAGAATAGGCATTCAGTATTGAAATTTTTGTGAGAAGTGATTATGCACGTTAATACTGGTTCTGATTGTGGTAGAGAATCATGCTGGGTTTAATAAAAGGCAAGATTAGTTTTGAAACTTTGAATTGGAAAGGTGCTTGATGGCCGTATATGCTGTTCTCAAACCAATACCTTCTTAAACTTCAATTTGAAACTTTAACTCTATACTTGTGGTTTATATTTGATAGGCAAAGAGGTTAGGTTCTAAGTTAAAGAGTCGGATTGTTATGATGCAGTCTATTGCTAAGTGGTCTCAGAAAATTGATGAGATGGAGGAGAAAGTCACTGAAGGAGGAGAGGTTGGTTTTGTTTCTTTTTTCTAAGTTATTTCTTTCTCCTCGCACAATTATTATAGCTTCTGTTTTTATATTTTTCCAGGGCTGAGCGAGCCCTAAGAAAGGCTGAAATGGAAGCTACAAAGGTAGGTTATCTGCCTGATTTTTTCATGCTATTTAACCTAGATGTTTTGAATATATAATTCTAAAGTTCTGATTCTGCTCTCTATGTGCTTTTGTGATGCAAGGCTGAAAATATGATTGCACACAAGGATGAAATTTATGCACGGTCTAAAAGAACCTGGTTTATCACTGAAAAGGAGAAAAAGCTTGTCGCAAAGGAAGCAAAGGTAAATAATCCTTGTATCGAAATTTTAGTTTTCTTGAATTGTTGTCACTAGACCATAGGCTACTGGAATTTTTATTAAGCACAAGTTCTCTGTTTAACTACTGTAATCTGAAAGAATTTTAGTAATGATATGACATTATATCTTTGGATAAGCATCCGTGGTGAAAGAAAAAGGTTCTGCAAATGTAATCATCAGTGCCCAACAAGCTGAGGACCTTAAGTTGAAGGAAAAGAGGAAGAGAGTGCGTGAGGTTGTAGATATTTCTCATTTCAAAACTTGCTTTTATTTTAGGCATTGTGCGCTTTGCTGAATGCTAAAATCTACTGAGCAGAAAATTTTACCTCGGAAGAAACGTCGAAAATTGGAAGCTGCCAGAGAAATGTTGGAGGATCAAAGTGAAATTAATGAATCACATGTAAGCATCTCTTTCTTTTTTAGAATTGTAATCCTTTCAAGGCCATATAATGTTTATACACCTAACTTACAGTTTATGCTACTTTGTTGTTGGCAAACCATTTTAGACTCTTTTCCTTATTTGTCAAAATTAGTTAAAAAAAATTCTTTCTTACCCCTAGAAGATGTTTTTCTGTTCAAGTATTAGTTTTTTATGTTATGGGCTAGTTAGCAAGTTTATCTTTATTTTTTGTCTTTTACTAATATATGAGAATTTCAGGGTAATGGAAACAATAAGAAAGAGAAGGAAGGTATAACTTTGGTTGACTTGGCTTATCGGCGAGCAAAAGCAGAGAAAGCTGTGAAGAAGGCACAAGATTCTGGCAAAATTGTTAAGAAATCCAATAAAATGACAAAGCAACCTAAACAAAGAAGTCAGTCAAGGACAGGAGATGCAGGAATTATTTCAAAATGACATGGGTGAGAGGAGGCAGAAAAGCTCTAGTAATGCTGAAAGGAAAAAGTCCAAGAGTTCATTTAAGTGCAAATCACGGTATTAAACAGGATATATTGCTTTAATTTCTTGCCCTGTTTCTTTATAGATCTATATTTTAACTGTTTTTTGGCTCAAAATCAAGCAGGAGAATTTGGCTGTATAGTAAACCATTAATTCTGTTGTTTTTTTAAATCTAGCTTTGGCATTGTTTGCACAAATGCATTTTAGAAGAATTTGCAAAATTTCTTAGACACTGTATTATGACGAACTTGATTGTATAGTTGGCTTTAGCATCTTAGTTTCTTTCCCTCTTTGCACTTAGCAAGTTTCCAAGTAGATTCTAGACCCTACTATTTCTGAATATCTGTAATGAAGATGTTTGCTTGGTACAATCATTTGCCTTTCTTAATTAATGTAAATGTTTTCTCTGTCTTGATTTTATTATTTTTCTTTGCACGCCAGAATACTGTTTTCTACTAAAATCTCAATTTTGCTTTCCAGTTACAAGCGTAGGTAGCGTTAGTACAGTCTATTGGGTGCACCAAAATTTGCGGCTCTTTATGTTGGTGGGAGCAGCCCCATGGGTCAACATTATAACTTGAGTAGACACCTCTGGAGAGGGAGAGCTAGCTACTGCAAGATCTGTGAGTTGGAACGGATATGCCTGTAGTTTCTACAGCCATTGTAACTTTAGTATTAGTGTTCAAACATTGCTAGTTTCTGCAGGTGTTTTTGGAAATGTATTATTGACCAAATTAACGATTATATGCCCAATCAAAGTCGATTTTGTTCACTTTGTTTCTTAATTGCCATCGCCCTTCACCTGGTAGGTTTAGTTTCCCTTTAACTAAATTTGTTTCTCCTGAAAAGAGCACGACACAGGCCAAGTGTACGAACCAAAAAAACAAAAGCAAATCGTTACGAAAACGTCCTAACTGAACAACGAAGAAAGGGTAAAAAGAAAATTAGAGGAAAGAATCCGATGTTGGTAATGGTCAATGGAAATGATGAGCTGATATTTTGGTTCATTTTGACTTTTTTATGTTAATTATATTTTATATGAGTATGTATACTTAGACGTTTTAATTTTGGTTCATTTTGATCGTCTTCCTTTTTTTAATGTTAATTATATTTTGTCTTTTTGAACTGATATTTTGACTCCGTCTCTGATCAATGTAACTTGGATAATGAGATTTGTTTACTTTTCTATAATTGTTTCCTTTCACGGCATATTCTGTAATTTCTGCAAAGTATTACAACCGGCTTGCTTCTTTGTCTGTTGTTAGATGCAGCTATCCACAAACGGGGGAAAATGACGATGTGAAAAATAATACATCAATTTATAGCTATCAGCAACTGAAATCAGTAATGAACAAAACTGTTCTTGCCAGAAGAAGAGAAATGGTAAGAAAAGCACAGTTTCTTTTATCTTTCTGTGACAAAAGGAAAATAAATTACACCTACATGTACCAAGCATTCTGCAGTTTCAATGGCACCCTACGGATCGCAGAAAATTAAAACAAGAAAGTAAGGCATAAACTAAAGCAATTAAAACCTAATTCTATCCCCCCTCCTTTTGGGCAATTCAATCTCATGGATCATATTACATTCATAATTCCCCCGTTTTATTCAGTTGAACTCCCCTCCTATGAAAGTTAATGGCCTCTGATTTTCCAGGTATCTTTGGCAATGCAAGCATCAATTAACTTGGACTTGTAATATGATCCCTAGGAAGGGCAAACACAAATATGAACTTAATGTTTCCATGGGAATTGCTGCTGTCTGTAGTTAAATGTTTGTGGATCCCATCCACCATCCGGTTCCTTCCTTTTCATGGCAACTCCGGAACTAGAGGAGGCTTGTGTGTTTGCTCTCAAATGTTCTTCTATTGACCTACCTTGAGCAGGCATGAAAGGGTGCCTTAAACCCATGGGCTCCGTATTTCCTCCCTCGATTGCTAATCCAAAATTCAGATCAAAATTAGGCCTTGAGGGGACTGAACCATTAAAATCAGCCCCTGCATTGTTCATGCCCATCATGAACTGTGCTTGAGAGTAAGCTATTGGAACAACTGATGCAGAGCCCATAAGTTGAGGCACAACAGGTGCACCTGAATCGACGATACAGGGGATTGAACCACTAATCCCATAAATGGAAGAGGAGAAGGACATCTTTGGTGCTAAAGGCAGTCCATTAGAACCAAAAGCAGGAGAATGCGCATATGAGGCAGTGGGAAACAACCCCATAAACCCTGCAGTTCTTGTGATGCTTCCATCGGTTGCATGCTCGAAAGCCTTTCCATTTGGAAATGACATGAACTTAGAAACAACGTCCTTCCTATTAACTTCCACTCTAGTACCCATTATTGAAATGACAGGATCATTTGGTTTAAGCCCTCCATGGGCAATAGCATTTCGAGAAGATCTACCAGGATATGTCCCTCGTTCTAAAGCATTATTGTGAGTATACGGTCTGTCATTCAAGTCGAAGTTCCTGAGAGAAGACTGCACTGGTGATGATGAAGAAACAGGTGATTGGCTACGATGGCCATTCCTGTCATAAAAAAGTTGTTCCTCCACTCTTGAATATAAAGCAGGAGCATCACCATCATCACTGATGCAATTTAAATCCAGCTCAAGCCTCTCAGATTTTCTTTGATTTGCTTTTGAAGATTCAGCAGAATGGAGGCCTGATGAGGCTGTAACCTGTTTCCTGGACATTAGTTCAGCACCTTGTTCATCAACAGCCTCAGCAACATTAAGATCCAAATCAAGGCAATCCAGCCTCTGTTTTGAGCTATTGTTTGTTCCGCCAATGGATAGAGTCTTATGTCCATCAGAGTTTCGGCGAGGTGATGCTGGACGAAAAGCACTTGTGGCAGCAGATCCTTTCCATCCAAGAGTCCCCTCAAACTGTAGAGGAGCGGCAGGTAAACTACGCACTGCAGCCGCCCTAGAAGCAGAAACCACTGAAACAGGGGTGGAGATGGAAGTTGCTGCACGTTCCATTTCATCAGAACAGACTTCTTGGTTCAGATCAAAAGCACATACACTTTTCTCTGTGTTGGGCTCAGGATCTTGAGCCACAGTCACCTGAGAGGACTCCATGTCATGCAACTCATTTTTTGGTTCATTGTCTGCATCATCTGAATTTATAAGCCCCTCATCCTCAGTTTGTGCTCCAGGAGACCGAGTGGGTCCACTTGACACCTCCTTTGACAATACCTCGCTGGGTAGATTTTGCTTTCCATTTATTGATCCTAGGGAATCAGATTGCCTAATACCACCTTCTGAAATCTTCTCTGAGGAGCAACTGGAATGCTCTCTGTCGTCTACAACTTCTCGTTCCACTTCTTGAGCAACTATTCGGGCAACTTCTAGAGCATCAACTATACCATACTCAAGGTCAATGTCAGATGTTGTCGTATGCATCCCAACAGGACTACAGGTAAACCTAGAACCACCCCTAAAATCCTCAAGTCCACAATTCTCCTTATTTTTATCTGCCGTTCCAATTTCTGACTTCCTGGAAAACCTAGTCTCCAGATTCCCAGACTTTTTATACACGAGCTCATACTCAGAAGAGCTCCGCAACATGCTCAAATGAGACTCAATGTCTTTGCCTGCAATCTTGAATAGCTGTGACCTATTACTAGAATGATTCATTGCTGCCAAATCACCCACAGCTTCCTTTGGCTCAGATACTTGAGTCTTCTCATCAGTAAGATTGACAGATTTTAGGGCATGACCCCCATTGGCTTCAGAATCATTTTGGGAATTGGGTTCTGTTGTAACCTCCAGAGCACTTCTAACACCAGCATGCTCCACAGTACTAGAGTTTGAAACTGTCACATCAAACAACTTTTCATCACTTGATAACCCATTCAACTTCTGAGAATCTGAAACTTCAATATTTTCTTGCTTTGAATCTGGTAAACTGCAGGTTTCATAGGAAGCAGTTTCTTCCACATCTTTTGCAGGGAGCTCTTCCCTCTTGGGAAAATTCTCTTGCACCGAATTTGACACAAAAACGGAGGCCATATCACATGGAGATCTGTTTTCCATTTCTGAATTTATGTGGGGCTGGGGCTCATCAATAGTAGAGTCAATGGGTAAATCTTTAGTGTTTTCCGGCTGAACACTATCGAGACTTGAAGAAATGTTTTCACTTTTTGCAGCATCTGCTCCATCATTTTCCTCATGGGAACTTCCTCTTGAAACAGGAACATCTTTAGCAGAACGTTGTGGCCCATTATTTTCTCCAGTAACCGTAGCAGTCTCTGAAATCTCACACTCATGCCCACCACTATCAACATGACCAGTAACTCTACCTTGTTTCCAGCTCTCAAAGAGCAACTTAGCACTATCCTGAACTCTAGAGCTATTGTAGCCAAGAAGATTCTTGGCTGTAGTCCAGATCTCAGAAGAAATAGAGACCTCCCTATTTCTATGCAACTTTTCAAGTGCTCGTAAGAGTGCAGTAATTGATTCTTCCACAAAACTATCACTTGAGTCATTACCAAATTCCTGAGCATCCTTCAGCCATCTGTCAAGAAACAAGAGTCCGTCTAGTTGAATAAAAAGATCAAGACAGTCTATATTCTCGGTGGCCGCAATTGTGCTCGCAACAGCAGTCCATTGCCTGGTCACATCGCTGACATTTTTAACAACAGATTCTTTCTCCTTCTTCATTACAGTTACTAGCTCCTCAACTCGTGAAGGGACTGTGAGCCCATCTTTCATCTCAGTCAGTGTAAAAAAATCCTCCAGCTTCATGGTGCTTCAGATGCAAAACCACTAAACAAAGAGAAGTTTGTAGTATACTGACATCTTTTGTTACATTTAGAACAAGAGGCGAAGCTTCAAGGTGAAATCTAAAAAGAAACCTGTAAAATGGCATGACATACTGGTTAATCCCGTAGTTCATCATCCCTAATAAAGTTCTCTGTAAAATTGCATTATATAAATGGTTGATCGATT